TTTTTTGAGTATTATTCCTGGAAAGAAGATCGCAGAAGGGGAGAGAAGGCACAGAGCAGAATCAAGCCTCATGTACCCCACATTTTGTAGGTCCTTCATGCTTTCTGGCTTTCCTGCCAACATCAAGATGAAGCCTTGGTACCAGGTCATGGAGCGTGTCCCAGCCTTGGGGGAGGGGCAGGGAGTGTGACAGAGGAAGGTTTGGGGGACATTGTTTACAGGGACCCTCCAGTTAGTCAGAGGAGGGGTCACCCTATGGTGAGGGGTGCTGTAACTTGGGGGTAGAAAACTTCCCCACATCCTCCGAGCAGTGCTCCTGAAGGGAGGCCAGTGTTTGCCCTCCTTCCTGTGTACTCCTGTTTGGAAAACACATGACTTATTCTGTCCCACTCCATATATCATCACTCACCAAGGAAGCAAGTGATCAACAAGGAGTTTTTGGGGCCACACCAAGCACTGGAACCCAGGCCAACTTTTAGAAATAGACTTTCAGTTTTTATAGGCATCATAAACAGGAAAATTAATCTCCAAGATCGTCCTCATAAAGAAAGCCTTTGGGACTTACAAAGTTAGATCACATTAAGACATTTTGGCTACCTTCCAAAGCAACAGGGACTTAACAAGATAAATTCATTGAAAAATATTTTGAACATTGCAAAACAATTTGGCTTGGAGTGACAATGCTTCCAATAATGAAAGGTTTATTTTGAGAAATGTTTCCCATCCATTAAATTGAATGCCATACAGCATCCCAATAGATTCCTATTATGGTAAAATACTTTCTAATAATAATAATAATACTACACAGCAATTCCTATGTGCTAGGTACTTTCTAAGCCCTATATATAAAAACTCCTTAAAAAAAAAATACTCCTTTAATCTTCACCATCTAACTCTCAGGTGGGGGCTCTTATTGTTCTCGTTATACCACTGAGGAAACTGAGACACAGAGAAGTTAAGTAACTTGCCCTAGATCACACGGCTAGTAGTTGGTAGAGCACAGCTGGGTTGTTCTATTGCTCCTAGCTGTTTCCACCAGAGGTAATTGTTTGTAATAATAAAAGGGACCACGCGAACAATACTACAGTAGCATACACTGCCTGCTGCCACCAGCCCTGCCACCCCTTTTTAAGAGCCCACTGCAAGGTATTTTTTCTTTCCCCTTCAGAATTCTGGACTTGAAAATGTCCTTGCTTTTGAATCACCATAGGAAGCAACTTTGGCTGACTCATGGGGATTTTTTATCCTAAAAATAAAATGGTTGTGCAGCCTTAAGTATTTAAAACAACATCTAACTCTTGGAGCTGCTGTGGTAAGAATCTGTTTAAAACCTTGGTGAAATCAGTCCAGGCTGGATGGTACTAAGAGACCCGAGACTTACACCTGTCCTGGGTCCCTCCCTACACACAGGAGTTCTTATCTACCGCAAGTCATCCCTTTCCAGAACATCCTGGTCGAGTTTCTCATCTCCTTCACTTGCCACCTCTTTAAAATGTCATTCAAAGCCATTTTCCTCTCCTTTTCAAGCCTAGTGCTCTGTTTGTCTGTGGTCTCGGTTCAGTTCAGTTCTACACGCAGATGTGAATTCCTTGCACCGTGTGCTACGCGCTGGAGTTTCAGAGATAAAACAAAGACGCAGCCCCGTCTGGAGAGGCTCACTCTTTCCCCTGCCAGCCTCCCCACAGAAGAACTGACATGTAGGGACTGGAAGATGCCACGGCAGCAGAGCAGCGGTCGCTTCACACGCACCCCGGCCTCACTGACTTGCATGAAGGCAGGGCACATGCCAGAACTAGACATGTCAGAGCCAATGTCTTTTTCTTTATTTGGACACTATTTTGTTTGGATTTTCCCAGTCTAAAGGCCAGGGAATAGAAGTTGACAACCAGACTTCTATCATTTGGGATTATCATTAGGGTGGATTATTTCAAGCCCTAAGCCATTTGGGGAGACACTGGCTGAATCTATGTGGTGACTACAGACGACAATGATGAGGAGGAGGTAGGTTCTTATTGATCTTGTAGCTTAGACCAGTGCTGGGCACACAGTAGGTGTGTCTTACGTATGTTAGCTGGAATTAAGGAATAAAGGTAGGTGCCTCTCTTTATTGTTGAAAATAAAGAGGCCCAAGACAGTCTTTCAGATGGACAGACTACTTGCTAAGACCAGAGTGGCCTTAGAAGAGTATAGGTTGGGCAACTCAACAAATGTATGTGTGTGCGTGTGTGTGTGTACCATACATACACAGGCATATATGTTCATTACATATCAAATAACACTCATTCGTGGTATCCTGTGGATCCTTCCTAAGCACCGGAACCACAATGGTCACACCCAAGGGTGTGCCCCTTGGCAGTCTCACACCCTAACCCATACTGACTGCTAATGGCGTGTGGCTCCACTGATCAATGTTAGTTTATGCCAATTTTGTATAAATTGTACAAAAAACGCAAGATTGGTCCCCTACCTTTAACATTTTTGTCTCTCTCTCCCCACTCATGGCCCTTGTGAACTTTACGTCACCCTTTACCTTGCATGGCCTGAGGTTTGGGGCACTTACCACGGTGCAGCAGAGAGGCCAGAACCACCAGAGGAGAGCCAGGGCCAGGAGCAGGAACAGGATCAGCAGGGCAATCGCCAAGATGGAGCCGTCAGACTGCAGGGCCAAGAAAGGGGCAGTCAGTGGTGGGACAGGACCACGTGTGGTCTTCCCTCCCCAACCTCCCATCACCAATATGCAGACTGAAGACCAAGAGAACAGCACCGTTTTCCAAGCTAATGGCTGAAACTCTGCCCATCATTCTGGGACTCATGGCCCTGTAAAACACTCTGATTAGCCAAATTTCAAGAGAGATGGATTCGTCTTTTTAGGGAGGCCCTGCTCTTCTCTTTGAAGAACATTCTGAAGGGCCAGCCCCACAAGACACAGAGCAGGCATTGAGATGGCCTACCACTACCATCTGTCCCTGGGATATCATCCTCTGCCTGGTGAGAGGCTCCTGCTCACCGGCTCTGATGTTCTGGCCACCAGCTGGGCTGGCTGACTCAGGACAATTGTCCTCAGGGTTCAGTCTGCTCCCCTGAACCCGTTCACAAAGAAGCATGTAACAGATTCACGAGGCTGAGGATGGAAAGTCTACAGTCTGCTGATGGGACGCCATGTAGGGCAGATGAATTCCAGGGGTTGGGGGAGAGCAGCTGCTGCTGGACCTGGGAGGGGAGGGGTGTGGTCGCTGAGTCAGCCCTATAGTCAGATCAAGTGGCTATGAGGGCATGAGGGAGGGAGGAAGGTACCCAAGACCAGTGTTACCCACTTCAAAACATGCCTAGGCCAGTCCTGAAAATAGACATGGTTGCTGTGGCCTGAGATGGCTGTTAACTTTTAGCAAACAGACCCCACTCAGTATCAGCATTCTGAGGTTGCTGGTTCAAGGAAGCCACTTGAGAACACCAGTGTAAGTCCCCTCCATCCTGCCTCCCTATCAGTATGACTTTCTGGGGGTGGGGGGGATTGTTACACATATCAAAAGCCTCCTTCTGAGTAAAACTGGCAATTCCACTTCTAGTCCAAGAAAATAATCAGGTATGTTTGCACAGATAATAATAATAAAAAGGAAAACCACATAAATGTTTAACAATTAGAGAAGGCTAAATAATGCACTATAGAATTACCATGCAATCAGTTACTATGTAGACATTATGCTGTCGAATAGTTCAATGAGATGGGAAAACATGCTGGTAGGATGACTGCATTTATGTATATCTGCGTCGAAAGTGAGAGTGACAGAAAGACTGTCTCTGATATTCACTAAAATTTTTTACTGATATTTATTAAATTATTAATACTAGTGGTTTTACTGGTAGTGGGTTTATAATAATTTTCTTCTTTTTTAAGTCTACTTTTTAAAAAACATTACATAATGAGAAAATAAACTACTGAGGTTGTTCTTTAAAAATCTGTCCTTGGTGTCAGAGCTCACTGGGCCCAGGGGTTCTTGTCCAGGGTCTATGGGGATACACAGTAGATCTGTGAGGTACACAGATGGGCAAAAGGGATGGAAGCTCGTGACCCTTTGGAATGACACCCATGATCTTTAGTGCGTGTGTCTTCAGGGAGACCCCTCACAGCTCTGTCAGAGTCTCAAGGCTGTTCCCCTTCCCCCATTTACAGAGGGAGGAGTTTGCGTGGCTTGTCCCGAGTAAAGCAGCAGGTTAATGGCAGAGCTCACTCCCACTCTCAGTGCTCAACAGGGGCTACTGGAAGCTGTTCAAAGGCACTCTACTCTTTGGAACTCCCTGAAATGTCTTTGACCAAAAAGCTGGGGAACTAAACACCCCCGGTTCCCGCTAAGCCAAGGCTTGGGAATGTCGGATGGCCCCCGAGGGAGCTGCAGCCACACAAGTGCAGGTGCAGGGCTGGGCAGCCCAGGGGCGGTGGGTGGGGAGAGAGCACAGAGCCCCACCCTGCACCATTTACACATGAGCGCCAGGCTGAAAGAGAGGCTCTCGGTGGCAATAGAAAAAAATCACGTTTTCCAAACTTATTGTTAGTCAAAGACAGCCGTCTAGGTCTCTCAGTCTCCATGTTCCACATCCACAGAACGGAGATGATGAACCTCACCGGCCTCACTGCATCAGCATGAGCATCACATGAGCCCTAAGATGTAAGCAGAAGTGGCTGAGCAATTCGATGTGAGCTGTCTTAAACACTGAGCTGCAACTCACTCTCCCTCTATTTTTTCCACAATAACAAATATGGTGAGCATTTCAGATCATAAATCTGTTTGCATTGGAATAATAAGTGGTTTTGGTTATGGAGAGGCTTATAAAACAGTGGCCTTTTAGTAAAGACTACATTTATTCACATTATACACAATTTTCCTTCTCCCTGATTTTCTTTTTTCACTTTAGGTAGATGAACTGAACCAGTAAGGACTGAAAATTGTGGGGAAGTTTTTTACTTCCTTCTGGAAGAAGAAGGTTTCCCAGGAAGTGGTGAGGGTGAAGCACCCGGTGCAGAAGGGGAGAGGTGAGCTTTCCACACTGGGAGGAGAAAGTGATGGCTGGCTTTTCTCCAGCCAAGCTAGGCCTGCCCCTTACGGGCCACAGTTCCTTCTGGCGGTAGTGCGGAAAGGACAGTGGGGCTCAGGGAAGCGGGCGCTGGGGGTGGAATTGCACAGGGACAGAAACTCCTAGAGGAGCTTTCTTCTGCTCTGGAGACGGCGCTGGGATAAAGTCCCCAAATGCACTGCCAGGTTTTCCAGATCTTCCAGAAACCATTATATACCTAGTTCAAAAGAACAAAGGGCATGAATTTTTGATAAACTTAGACCTAAAGCTAATGTTTCAGAAAGAGGTAAGATGCACATGCAACCTCAGAGGTTCATTCATTTATTCATTCAGCAAATGTTTATTGAGGGTCTCTACAAAAAAGGGTGAGCAAAGATGGGGTCTCTGCATTACCCATCCACACTCAGAACAGCCCAAAGTAAATGACCATTATGAATACCTGCCATTGACTGAGCATTACTAAGTGTTCAACCATGGGCCAAACGCTTTACAAACATTACCTTTCCCAACCAGCTGCACTATGAAGCAGTTATTGTCAACTACTGTTTTTTTTAAGAGATGGGGTCTGACTATGTTGCACGGGCTGGTCCCAAACTCCTGGGTTCAAGCGATACTCCTGTCTCAGCTTCCCGAGTAGCTGGGACTACAGGGGCATGCCACCATGCCCGGCTAATTTTTCTATGTGGTATCTCACTATGTTGCTCAGGCTGGTCTCAAATTTTTGGCCTCAAGCATTCCTCCTGCCTTGGACTCCCAATGTGCTGGCATTGCAGGCGTGAGCCACTGTGCCCAGCTGCAAAACTGGGATTTCAATGCACATGTTCCGATTTTAGAACCTTGCCCCTCTCCCACTTAACCATTATACTATACTGTTGAATTTATAAAAATTTAGTTAAGTAATATCTGTACATTAAACAGCTGCATCAGCGATCACACCTGTGATGCAATTGCCCTATCTGCTCTCACAGGAGCAGTTCACTCGCATGCTCGCATGGCCCAGCATGGATCGGCATGTAGCACGGCTGAAATTGTGCTTCGGAATGACGTCAGAAAGGAACAGGGGCCATAGCAGAGCCTGCCGTCCCATAGATTCTTGGCTTGGAGTTTTTTTTTTTTTTTTTGAGACAGGGTCTCCCCCCTGTCACCCAGGCTACAGTGCACTGGCAGCATCATAGCTTACTGCAACCTCAAACTCCTGGGCTCAAGTGATCCTCCTGCCTCAGCCTCCTGAGTAGTTGGGACTAGAGGTGTGCGCCACCATGCCAGGCTAATTTTTCTATTTTTTGTAGAGATATGGTCTCCCTATGTTGCTCAGGCTGCTCTTGAATTCCTGGGCTCAAGTGATCCTTCAACTTCAGCCTCCCAAAGTGCTAGGATTACAAGTGTGAGCCAGCGCACCTGGCTGGCTTGGAGTTTTAATCAATAGCCTTGTGAAGAGGGGCTGACAACTAATGTAAGACTTTACATTGCTTGTTGAATATATATCAATACATAGTATAGAAATATACACATATCTCCATCAACTAGGTGGATAAAGAAAATGTGGTGTGTGTGTGTGTATGTGTGCGTGTGTATACACATACACCCCGTAGAATACTACTCAGCCATGAAAAGGAATGAAATAATGTCTTTTGCAGCAATTTGGATGTAACTGGAGACCATTATCCCAAGTGAAGTATCCCAGGAATGGAAAAACAAATATCACGTTCTTACTTATAAGTGGAAGCTAAATGATGGATATATATGGTGATAACGTGGTATAATGGACATCGGAAACTAAGAAAGGGGGAAGGGTGGGAGGGGGGTGAGGAATGAAAAATCACTTATAGGGAAGAATGTACACTTTTCTCACGATGGGCACACTAAAAGCCCTGATTTCACCATTATACAATTCATCCATGTAACAAAAAGCAAGTGTACCCCCTAAATCTATTGATATAATAATAAAAATAACATAAAGACATCTGCCTTGTTTAGTAAATGGTATTTGCTTCACTCTTAAAATTAGGTCAGTTATTCTAAACCACTCCTTCTGCATCTTTACCAAGTCCCAAGATAAAGACACCTAAGGAGCAGGCTCCGCCCATGGCCAGGAGGCATGTGGAGTGTTCCAGAGCCCACACAGCATAGCCTGACACCCACAAAGCCTGGCTCTGCTCTGCACTCTGTTCTCTTGCTCTGGGACAGACTGCCCTGGCGCCTTGGGCTCCTCCTCTGACTCGCCCTCCTGTGTCTGTTGGCACACCCTGTGCTAACCGTCACCTGCTCCTGAGAGCCTCTTCTGGGATTGGAGCCCAGAAGGGTCGTGGGCTGAATGCTCTCACAGCTTAACTAAGCACTGGTGTTTGGGCTGGGCCTCTGCTCTTCCCCTTCACCAGGGCAAAGGGTGGCCAGGACTGGAGAGACCCCAGGTCCCACGTGGACAGTACCCTGGGGCTGAGTGGGACCATTTGGGCCAGAGGTCCCCCTTAAGAAATTGTGCCTGCCCAGGCCCAGTCTCAGATGGGAGCTGGCAGGGGGCAAAGTGGCTTCCAAGAACTGGTGCTCCCTGACTCACTAGTTCAGACTCATCCTCCAGGCTCGGTC